AAATGATACAAGCAAAAAGTAAATAAAGTTTTTAAAGTAAAATTCTAAGTTCAAAGAGGAAATATCTCTTGAAATAAGGATGCTAGAGTTATGAACCTTTTCATGCATGATGTAAGTAATGACAAAGGACAATTATCTAAAGTCTAGAGTTGATGTCATTTATAATAACAATGATAATTCTTTGAAATATAATTTTCAATAAATCCCTAGTTAAAAAATGAAATGGAGATCATTCTAGACTTGAGTTATAAATCTAATCGCACGTAATATAGGTGTTGATAAGAAACATTTTTATGCTGCAGAAGCGAGGCATATTAAAATCGCACCGTCAATCTGTCTGTCTGGACGTCCGTCTGTCTGTGCGTCCCCATTTCATTCGTGTCCGAACTATAACTTTGTCATGCATGGAAGGATATTAAAATAAATAGGCAATAATGTCTACCACATCAAGACGATGTGTCGCGTGACGTCCAAGAATTGCATCCCTACCTCAGAGGTCAAGGTCACACTAACATTTTGAAGTTTCACATTATCACAATAAAAGTATATACATGTAGGTTCACACATTTGTGTCCGGAATGTAACTTTGTCATGCATGGAAGAATTTTAGAATAACTTGGCATACATGTCTACCACATCAAGATGATGTGTGGCGTCCACTTATCACACCCCTACCTCAAAGGTCAAGGTCACACTACCATTTTGAAGTTCACTATATCAAAATTAGGGTTTATAGTTACACACATTTGTGTCATGCATCGAAGGATTACGAAATAACTAGGCATAAATATCTTCCACATCAAGACGACATGTCACCACTAAGACCTATGTTCCTACCTTCAAGGTCATGGTCATACTTATAGTTTGAAGGTACTCATTCTCTCGAAAAGAGTTTGAAGATACACATTCATGCACAAACTCTAACTTTGTCATGCATGGAAAGATTTTATAATAATTTGGCACAAATGTTGGACGATGTATCGCAGCTAAGGCTTATGTCCGTCTGTTCGTCCATGTGTAACCACTTACACATTCTTTTTTTCATACTACCAGTCCTGCATGCTTAAGAAACCTTTTCGGGGGCATTCGTCACTTGTGTGACAGCTCTTGTTGAAGTCCTAATTTAATGAGGAAAAATTTGAGTATAAAGGGATGATTCTGAAAATATTGATGCTAGAGTTATGAAGCCTTAGGTTGCCATGTTATTGTTTTAAATTATAAAATATCAATTTTTATTGTAAAAAAAAGTTTAATGGGGGGAAATAATCCTGGATATACTCATGCTACAGTTATGAATCTTGTCACACATGATAAGGAAATATATTTGAAGTTAGAAGTAGATACCTTAAGAAATAAAAAAGAAAGTAACAAGTAACATTTCTTGAGAGAAAAAAAGAAGTTCATAGGGAAATAATTCTAGAAAAATTGGTGCTAGAGTTAAAAAAAAAAACATTGTCACATATGATGTAGTTGATGATAAGGAACACATGTTTGAAGTTTAAAGTCAATACTTTAATATGAAATGAAGATGTTAGAGTAAAATATAACATTATTTTAAGTTCAAGGGGATATTGTTCTGGAAATACTGTTTTTAAAGTTTTGCACCTTATCAAATGATGTGGATGATGATAAGGAATATATATTTGAAATTGATACCTTAAGAAATAAAAAAGTTAAAGGCACATAAACATTAATTTAAAGTATGGACGCTGACGTCGACTTTCAAACCGAGGTGAGTAGCACAACTCACCATATTCTTAGTAAAGTCGAGCTTATAATAAAAAAATATCACTTACCTGGTCATTTTAGTTAAGAGTCTTGCACTTTGCAGTAAAAGTTATATCTATGAACAGTTTTTGGTTTTTGGTTTTTAGCGGGGGAGGGAGGTTCAGTCATAACATGAGTAACAGTGACACTTAACTATTGAACTTTATTTATTATTAATTAAAAAATTTATCGTATGTTTTAAAGTATATTTACAAATAATTGCTAAGTTTCACAATTCAATTTGGCCACAGACCTATTTACAAAAGAAAGGAGAAAAAACTTTGATAAATCTTCTACAGAAATTTGATCCTTCAACGTTGGAGCCATTAGATAAGAATACAGAGGGGCAATTAATAATGACAAAACTTTCAACTCCAGTGGACCTGTTAATGGGAGATTTACAGTTAATAATGATTTACTAGCTGATAAGCCCTTACTGAGATTCAGTTATGCGTAGGACTGTCTGTAACTAATTTCAATAAAGTTCAACATAAATAGTAATGGATAGACCAGTTCTGCTGATATTATGAAAATAATAAAGACATGAATAAATTCACATGTTTTATTTTACAATCATGCTAGTTGCGACCCAATACTTTTAAACCTTAGAATAAAAGCAATTGATTATCAAATTAAGTAATCCTAATAGCATAAAATATCAATCGAATTAAAAATACTACAATTTTATGTTCCTACCAATAATAAATGATAAGATTCTGTCAATAGAATAAGGTTGAAATGTAAAAATGTAGAAATCTATTTTTGCAATGATGACTTTGACCCTGACCCAAATGACCACTAACTAAACCCAAAGAAAGAGGACCTCTCTCAGGAGTTTGTATGATGTCAACTAAAAAATAAAGGCTGAATGAGCATGTTTAAATTAGTTTTTTACACCAGTGACATTGACCTTGACCCTAAAATGAAAGCCGGAATAGGTAAACCACACAAAGCCCTATTTTCAAAGTGGTAAAAAGTGGGAAATAACTGAGGAGAAAAATGGATGGCACAGTTATATTACTTGGCAATATCATGTACTTTGTATTGATAAGTATGTGTGGTAATTATGAAGCCATTAGTATACTAGATAGAACATAAGATAATAATTATCCAACTTGCTGTTTTAGGTTAACCACTTATTCATTTTCTAAATGCAAGAAAAGGGCAATAACTTGGTAAAATGAAAGCCAAAGTTATGTAACTTGCCCAGATTATGTACTATGTGTTAATTAGTAAGTGTGTAAAGTATGAAGCCATTGATATAGGTAAAACTTGAGAAAAACCAACTTGCTGTTTTAGGTTAACCTCGTACAAACAGATGGACGTACTTACGAAATGGTACTAATGTGACTTTTCCTTTGACCTTTTTAGCCATTTTTAGTCGCTCAAGGCTTATAAAAGAGACACACAAATAAAAACGGAATGAATGGGATCAAAGAGAATTAATTATTACCCATTGTTCTCCAAGTCATACAAGTACCTCAGGGTTTGTACAGATGGCCAGACGGATGGACAGTTCAATTACTATATGCCCGGGGGGCAAACAAAAAATTAACAGGATGTCATTGAAAATTAAATTCATGTTTCTTTCTTTTGACTTCCTGTATACATTCATTTATTTCTTCTTCCTCCAGTTCCTCCAAGTCCTTGTCTGCATTTTCCATACTTTTATCTAGCTTTTCTTCAGCACGCTTGCATGCCTTAATAGCTGCATCCTGACTTTTTTTTAGTTCAGAGAAGTGTTTGAAAAGCTCAATCTTTTCCAGATTATCTGCTAACACATGTTTATTTTCATCCCGGGCTTTGCTCACTAGTCGAGCACATTCCCTTACTTTCCTTGTGTCACTTTCCATTCTCTCGATATTTTTTGATACTGAAGGGCTGCTCAGGCCATCTGCATTGTCCCTTATTAAAAGACTTTTTCGCAGACGCCACTCGAAGTCGCATACTCCAGAAATCTCAGTCTTTGATAAGCCATCTGCAGCTGCTTTTTCTGCGATTTCATTGCAAAAGGCTAGTCTAAGCTTTTCATAGCCTTTTGCTTTTTGTATCTCCAGTGGGGAGTATATTCTGACTCCCTTCCTCCGAGCTTCTGGACATGGTGAGGAATTACTCATCATCTCTGTTATGAGTTTTTGTTCCACTGAAAAATTATTGGAAATAAGGTTTCATTACCACAGATAAGTAATTTTCTGTATCATTAGTAATTTATATAATCATACAAATTTTATCCAACTTGCTGTTTAATGTCTCTTATTGAAGATATATAATTCATTATTAATTGAAAAATTGTATTTTAGGTAATCATACACAATGTAACCACTGGTCATCTTTTAGGGCCCTTATTCCTACACAAACCCTATATAAGATTGATATACAATTAAGAAGAATTGTTGGCACTTATTTTCTCCTCTGTTTTGCATATATAAATGGTAAATAACACATGTGTAAACTAAAGAAAGCTGATTAAGTTACATTACATGGCCAACATACTATATGTGTAAATGACAGAAAGAAATTTATGTGGGGGAAATTATAAGCAGAAAAAAAAATGAAAAATTGGCATGAGGCAGAAAGGGCTCAAACCAGGGGTTTCTGGACTGCCAGTCCACTACACAACAGTAGCCAGCTAATTGACGTTATTTATAAATTTATTGTGGCATCATCAATTTTATTACCATAATGATTTCATCAATATTTTAGTGGTTTTTTTTTAAATTGTTATGAAAATTTCACAGTTATTGTCCTCCAAGTTGCACAATAACTGTCCTGGGTGAGCTATTTTCTGTTTCAGCTTTTCAAAGTGTAATTTTCATATTCTTTAAATATTCTTTATCGGGGCTTTGACAACAGCCACATTTTTATGACCAACAGGCACAGAAGATAATTTAAGAAAAATCAGTGACTGCTCACTTTTGTAATGAAAGACCATATTTTTTAAGACAGATCTAGATGAAATCTTACCATTTGTATTACTACTAGCAACAGAACTAAATAACCTCTTCTTTGTTAACTCTTTCTGTCTTGATGGAGTAAAGTAATCTGAAATATAATTTGAAATACTTCTTACACAAACAATGAAAAACAGTAGGTTTATGTAGAAAAAAATTACAATATTCACGAGAGTATAATAAAAGAAATTTATGAAAAACTGTTAAAAACTGAGTTTTCATTGTGATGTTTTATGGTGTGGCATTGTCCATGCACCTGTCCATCGACAATTGGGTTCCGCAAAAAAAAAACTTTTAAAGGATTTCAAGTATTGTTTTTTCCTGGAATTCAAGTTCGTTATTTCAAAAGAATATACAGTGTATACCATAATTCCTGAGTCACATGGCATATAATTTTTCTGAGTAGTATCAAAATTCAAAAGGTGTTCACTCACTGTTTTATACTCTGGGATGGGCATGCTAAGTAGATTTAACCTTTAAAACTGAATCTGCCAAGTTTACTTTTTATTTAAAATTAATGCTCTACCTGTTGATTTTGTTTCCTTTTGCATTGACATCTGCCTTTCATCACTGTAGCTTGCATGTGTAATTTTTCCAACATCTGTGGCTGCACTTGAAGAACTTTTCTGTTTTTGATCATTGGAGGGGTCAGAAATTTCTAATGTGTCTGAAGTACAATATGATTGAAATATACTTCTTTTATCTCATGCCATGGCTTGTTTTCCATGTAATGTAAATTAAACTACATTTTTTTATTTTATGCACGTGTTGCAAGTGTGTGTAAAATTTCAAAACAAGTTTATTTTATTTAATTTAATTAAATTGAATTTAAATGTGTCTAGGCACGTAAAAATGATCACACACATGTTTGGTCAAAATTTAAAATTATACAAAACTAATCCAAGAAAAAAGAAGCCTCGCAATTTCTTGAAGTAGTGAAAATTAAGTTTTATATAAAGGATGTTTGTGTGTAAGATGAAATTTTATTTCATGGAGTGGGCTTTAAAAACAGTATTCTTACGAGTGGCTACTAATATGTTACAGGAAAAAAACTTTTTAGAATTGAAAGACAAAGAAAAGTATTTCTCTTAACACTGGGCAATTTTTACAATCTCTAATTGGATTCAGATATTATCTTGAAAGAGACAGACACTGCTAACAACTGCTTCACAGATACCTAGTTTGATTAATTACCATAGTCCCCCTCCCCCTCTCCGGGGAACTAGTAAGTAAGTAAGTAACAACTTTATTTAGTGAGGCAACTTAGTTGGGCAAGCGCCAGTCTTCCCTGTGGGTCTCAACAATATACAAAACAATTTACAAAATACGATACATCAATAAGAGATTAAATAATGACACAAGTTGATTTTCATTATTATACATTCATCACTGACATACATGTATATATTTACATGAGATCAACCTTGAAAAAAGAAGAAAAAAATGAGTTGATAATATATACATACATTAAACTTTGAATTGGATGATAACAAAATTGAAAATTAACATACATATAAAACTTAAATATATTCAACCAGTATAAATCTTAGCGGAGGTTTCCATGTTAAATATGACTTTTTGAAATAGTGTTAAGACTGTTTGATTGCCTAATATGTAATGGTATTTTGTTCCAGATTTTAGGCCAAGAGTATGCAAGAGCTTTTCTGCAAAATTCTTATCTAGGTTTGGGTATATGTAGTGTCTGTTGAGTGTGTGATCTAAGAGTTGTGTGATTTGTATGCAGAAATAAATCAGACATATAATGTGGCAATAGATTGTTAACAAGAATTCTGAGGGTGTATCAATGTCTGCATCAAGTACTGGCGGCTTTCTTTTTTTGTATAATTATGCTGTTCAGTAATTCATCATTACAATTTCCCCAAATAGTGCAGCAGTAATCTAGGTGTGACAGTATGTATGCATTATAAAAAAACTATTCTCATTTGTTTGTTTAGGCACTGTTTGATACAAAGGAGATACAGTAATGAATTGCATTTTAATCAGCTGTTCAATATGACAGTTTCATGATAATCTATGATCCACATGAATTCCCAGTAATTTATCAGAGTTAATAGTAAATTCAATGTCATTTTCCTGCATTTTCAAAATTTAATCATTGCCTGATTTAATTGTGTTGTAAATAATATTTGATGGGACTTGTTTTTATGGGATTTCCCATGTAAATGCCAGGTCTGCATTTATGTATAGCTACAAGTGCAGCTTTTACACAAGAATTATGATTCTTATTTTCTTAATATTTATTTCATGATATTCTTTACATGAAAAGCACAAATACATATATGTCATTGTAATCTTAACAGGTAAATACCATTTTCTATTTAAAAGTTCTGAGAGAGGTAATAACTGGCAATATAATATGATAATAATGAATGAATGTTTTTTGTAACATAAGAAGCTTGAAGCATATACTGATGGAATTTAATGATAGAATATAATTTGTTTTGTCTGTGTCCAGTAACAGTAAACACCCAAGCAAATAGTACACAGATAAAGCACAGCTTTTATGTAGGAATATGTAAACAGCTCAATGTTTCAGTATTATAATGAATCTACTAATAAACAAACAAAATTTTAATTAAATGTTCTTAAATACATTATTGTCCAATGCTTCTATACTTAGATTGCAGTCCTACACATTAACCCAAGATTTCAAGTTTTTCCCACAAATTTCCCATCTCTGGCCAGTGATGAGCATTTAATTATAATTACATGGCTTGTCACAGTATTACTGATAGGAGCACCCTAGAATGTTTTATGATCCTATCATGTTTCAAGAAGTTTAAGCTGGAGAATATAGAGAACTTTTGAAATATAAGGAGAACTAAAAAAACTTTCATTTTAGTTACATTTCTTGATTACATTTAAAAAAGGTCTTTAAACACATACAACTCTCAATGAAAACACTTGTGTAAATTATTTTCATAGAAAAGGCAAATCAATCCTTAGTGATTAACTTTTTCTTTTTGAGAAGTGGATAAATAATATTTCGTAAAAATAATAATGGATTCAAAGCATTATTCTTGCATTTAATTTGGAAGAAAAAAAAGCTGAATGAGAATATAAATGTAAAAAAGGTAGCAAAATGTAATCAAAGTAGTATCATAATTTTTTTTTGATTTCCATACAAAATACTAAATCACTTTAATTATACTAATTGCCAAAGAACAGAAAATATTTAAATTCTATGACCTTCAAGTTATTTTTTTGGAAACCATAACCTGACACCAAAAGTAACAAGATCTGCCAAAGGAGACAACATGCTGGACTTATTCAATTTTAATGCTGGACACAGTAAAGGAAGACCAAACTGTGAAGAAAAATCAATTATGATAAGATTTATGATATTGCTGTATCAGTATCAAGAAAACACTCAAATGTTGAATATTTTTGTACCTCATAATTAAAATGTGACCCTGTCATTAAAAGTTAAACAGATATTTCCATGGAAAAGACAATAATTTGAAATCTGAAGACAATCCCTTCAGTAAAACAAAATGATAAGAGCAAAAAGTATATAAAAGTTTTTTTTAAAGTAAAAGTCAAAGACAAAATATATCTTGAAAAGATGCTAGAGTTATGAACCTTGTAATGCATGATGTAAGTAAAAACAAAGGACAATTATCTTAAGTATAGAGTAGATATCATTTATAATAACAAAGATAATACTTACAAATATATTCATTTTCAATAAATTTCAAGTTCAAATATGAAATGGCTATAATTCTTAGAAATACAGGAGCTAGAGTTATAAATTTAATTGCACTGATATAGGTGTTGTTAAGAAACATATTTTTGAAGTCTGAATTAAATAAGGAAAATTCTAACTATAAATACAGGGATGATTATTCTGAAAAAAAATGATGAAAATACCAATTTTTATATAAAAAATCCATGTTCAAGTGGAAATAATTCTGAAAATATTCATACTAGAGTTATGAATCTTGTCATATGTGTTAAGAACATATATTTGAAGTTTGAAGTAGATACCTTAATAAATAAAGAAGTAAGTAAAACAATCTAAGTTCATGGGAAGATAATTTTGGAAAATCGGTGCTAGAGTTAAAAACAGTGTCACATATGATATAATTGATGATAAGGAACTCTTATTTTAAGTTTAAATTTAATATCCCTTAATTAATATGAAAAAAAGACGTTAGAGAAAAAAATAACATTATTTTAAGAAAAATAATCAAGGGGGTATATTTCTGGAAATAATGGTTTTAGAGATTGGCACCTTATTTTATAATGTGGATGATGATAAGGAATATAAATTTTTAAGTAATACCTTAAGAAATAAAAAAAGTTACAGATAAAAGATTTACTGCACATTAACATTAATCTAAAGTATGGGCGCTGACGCTGACTTAGAAACTGAGGTGAGTAAAACAGCTCTCCATATACTTACTATAGTCAAGCTAATAATAAAAATATCACTTACAAGATCATTAAGTTAAGAGCCTTGCACTTTGCACAGGTGCTAGTGGCATTGATTTGACCTAAAATGTGTTTGACCTTGTTATTTATACAATAAAATATCAATAAATTAAAAAAAAAAAAAAGAAATTAATAATAATATAATAATATAACAGTGATTTTTTTTTTTTTTTTTTAATGTATTGATATTTTATTGTATAAATAACAAGGTCAAACACATTTTAGGTCAAATCAATGCCACTAGCAACTGTGGCACTTTGCAGTAAAAATTAACATATGTAAACAGTGGGGGTTTTTTTTGGGAAGGGGGGAGTGAGGGGGGAGGGTCACTCAGTAACATGAGTAACAGTGACACTTAACTATGAAATTTTATTTATTAAGAAGATCATTATCACTAATAAAGGTATGTCCCAACATATAATTCATTTAGTAGCTAAAATTTACCTTGTGATATTTACAAATAATTGCTAAGTTTCGCAATTCAATTCAATGGGCCGCAGACCCACTCACAACAGAATGGAGAAAAAAAACAGTTATGAAAAACTACATCTACAGAAACCTGATCCTTCAAAGTTTGAGCCATTATATAAGAATACCAGCGGCCAATTAGTGATGACAAAACTCTCACTTCAGTGGACCTGTTAATGGGAGATTTACAGTTAAAAGTGATGTACTAGCTGATAAGCCCCTACTGGGAATTAGCAGGCGGGGAAGGGTTAGTGGGTAGAACAGATTAATCCTTTTCATTCCTAAGTATTTTTTAGTATTGTGAATTATACTATCAAAAAGTTGTATGGTGTAGCTTTCATCTACAAATAATGATGTTGTCTACAATATATAAGTTTGATAAATAAACATACCTGGAGTTGTTGGTGAATTTTCTACATGCAGTTTTGTACTTGTTGTCTCTGTTGCATTTTTTCCTTCTGGAAAGCAAATGTTTCACATAAATTGTCAGTAAAAAATCATGCTTTAAGTCTCATTTATGATTAACTAAGATAGTCTCAACTGCATGTCCTTTTCTAAGCATCACACATCTAAATTCATGCTACTTTTCTGTTAAATTTTGAAAAGGTATTCAAAAGTAAAATAATGTAATGTGAACAGAAAAGGTAATTCATACATTGCAAACTTTAAATCCATGTTAATTACCAAAAGTGGTCAATAATAGGTCTTTATACTGCATTTAATGAGCAGAATACTGCAAATTCTGTAATAAATCATACTTAACATTTAAATCATTACTTGAAACTTGAATCCTTTTAATTTTCTTAAAATCTTAGTGCATTTTTTCTCAAGTTTGATGCTCAAAAACATTTCGGCTCATCTGGAGGCATGTTGAGCTTTAAAGTGAATTAGTCTGATTATGTTGACAGTACATGTAAGTATTATTAGATATAGCAACAATCCACAAAATAATTATAACAAGCAATTTTCATAGTATTGCAAGTAATCCATAAGTCCCCTACCAGTTAGAAGACCCCAGCAACATTCTGAAGGGCAATTGGACATTGAATTATGTCATTGAATGAATGAATGACATGAATAAACTTAAATCTTTTGAGTTCTTAGTTTGTCTGTACCTAAGTAAGGCTGTACCTAGTCCCTAATTATGTTTATAGAACAGATAATCAAAGATCCAATTTTCTCAGGATGAGATGTATAACTGATGTTTCAACTTTTCTCTGTAAGTAAATATGTTGGAAAAGTTCCAATGCCTTTAAAAGTGATCTCAGGAAACAGTTTTTAGAAACAGACCGACAGATCAACTGACAAGAGACTCTGGGGATAAATCTTTAAACATTCCAGGTTATTACCAGAGTATAACATTTCATCATGTTGATGTTGAATGTTCTACTTGTCCAGATAATCCCAAACTTCTGAATTCTGGAAACTTAAAAAATCTCGAACTTTTTGGCTAGTACTAGTCTCAAGGTGTTCGGTTTTAAGAAGTTACACTGTATACATAACTATAATATACTACTGTATACATAACTATAATACACTTTGCATTATGAAATAAGATAATGATTATGCTAATAACAATAGTATTCATTATTTGTCTATAGAATTATATTTATATGCTGTTGATAATAAATAATTATATTAACTGTCAAGAAGGCAAAACCTATAAACATATTTTCTTTGAGCCAACCCAAACGAATATCACTTATTTATAAAAAATTAATAAAAAAAGTTAATTACATAGTATGTTATCACATAAACCATGGAGCAGCAGTGTAATTAAGCCCTTTGATAAAAACTGTTTTTTACCCTAGTGTAATGATGTAATTTGCTTAAGCTCAATAAACTAATTCTTACACTTTAGGGGTTTTAATGAAAAATGACACTTTTTAAATGTATACCAGTCTTTCTTCAGTTATGTGATAAAAAGAATACCGGTATTATATTTGAGTAGATTCAATACTAAATTTAATTAAGTCATTGATTATTTCAATATTTCTGCACACCAGAGACGCACATTAAATGATTTTTTTTAACTCTTTCAATAAATTTAGTATTAAATCTACACCAATTCAATATCCTTTATAGATTATTATCCTGGTATGTCTGTAACAAAACCGCTTAAATTATTTTTGCCCATTTACTATCATATTCCAAATTAATCTGATAAAATTTAATTATGTTATCAGAAAATTTAATAATTTCTGTAAACTGAAGCTATTTGCTATATTTTTGTATAATCCTTTTTTACCTTTAACCTTGGTCAAGGCTCCAAGAAAACTTTTCCTCAGTCCTAGTTTAGTAATCCCCATATCTATTAAATCCTCATTTGTCACTTCCATTAACCCTTCAATATTTCTGAAATCATTCTCTAGAAAAACAGGTTTCAAATCAGATAAGTTGAATTTTTGAAAGAAGGCAGAAAAGTCATCTGACATTTTTGATTTTTAGAATTGTGTGATAAAGTTTCAGTCAAAAAATAAGGAGAAAAGAATGAACAGAAAAGTTATTATTGTGCATTTTACATTGTTTTAACCTCATATGTTAATTGGAATTGCCTGATCTTATCACCTTATCATTATACTGTAATTGTAATTAATGGGGTGATTAATCAGTGGAGTATAACTGCCAGTTATAAACCTCAAGACTTTAGTCAAAAAATTGCATGTAGTGCTACAACCACTGGTCAGTGATCAGCTGATTAAGGCATACTAATTGGCTTAAATAAATTTTCAAGCCATCTTGTCAACCTGACCACACAAATGGAAGTGGTATCAGCTGCAGATTGTTTTATATGGAAACTCTGCTGGGAACAATTTAATCTGCCAACACTTCATTTAGATACTGTCCTAAAGTTAATAATTGCTCATTGGCATGTCAGTGCCATGTGGAATTACAACTTAGTTCTTGCTTGATTTCAAGCTGTAATTAATCTCACTTAATATTTGTAACAAACATGAAATCTAACAAATAGCACAGAATAATTAACAATAAAGAAAGACAAGCTACCAAGAGGAAATTACTTGTGGATTATTTAACTTTTATGAATTTTGAATGAAAATGATCTTGAATCTTCACATTTATTCTGGATTTATATATACGAAAATGTAATTGGAAATTTCAAATAGCTTCTTTAAATTGTTATAATTTTGTACATTATTTATGGATTGGATTCACACTTGGAATAGCACTTCCAATATGACAATACTGAGAGGATGATATTATTTCAGATGTGACCTTTGATTGAAAAGTATGAAATTTTGACTTCTTTGTTACAAGAAAATTATGATTTGTAGGAGTTTTATATTTGCATCATTATGGATAATTCATTCCTTATTAAAAAAAGGTCAACATGTTTTCAAAGGACTTGGGTCTAAAAGTTCAACTTTGAAACTTTGACCAAAAATGGGACAATTATTTTCATTCTTGCATAATATAATATTTTATGTTTATGCACAGTATTAATTAGGTTTTTGATATTAAATCTCATTGTGCCTCTTGCTATATATATGCAATGAATTGAAGTCTTTCATCGATATCAGTTTTTTTTTAATATATTTTTTGCACATGACTGTGCAGAGAATTAAATGTAATGCAGTAATTAAAATAAATGAATCTCAACAAGTGCTTGATATTACAGAAAGTAAAAATTAACTGTTGCACTTAATTGGTATATAAATTTAGGGATTGAATTTTCTTTATTTTACAAAGAACAAAAAATAAAAAAAATCATCAGAAGAAGATTTAAATATATACTATGCCCATCTTTGAGTTAAGTATTTTAATTACAAAAAGTTATTGAAATCTATGACATTGTAAATGAAAAAAAGAATGAATACAGTATCACACTGACCATAGCTTTCGCAGAAGTGGTGGGTCTATCTCAGCGGCCGTGGAGTATTTGTCGCAGAAGCAGTGGATAAAATATGGCCGTTTGCTGTAGTGGGTAAATACCCACCACTTCTGTGAAAGCTGTGGTCAGTGTGAGTAATCTACTACTATGCATGGGAAGCTGCGTTCCCTATTACAGATCACTTAAAGTTGGTCTTTCCTTTAAACTTTTCTTAAAAAGACTGTTGTTGTTCTTTTATTAATGACACTATGTATTCAATATAGTGACTACCTATAGTGTGTAAGGCTCCCACGTTTACAATTTTTTGTAAACGTTTACACAATTGCTAAGAACCGAAACGATACCGTTTAAACGGTGGTACTTCTATGTACTACACTACACCATGTATTCGAGTCGGCAAATCATGACATACTTTCTATTTTTAATACATGTACAAATAAATAATGTCCAGGGCTCATCACGATTGTGCCGGCACACATTTTCTGCATTGCATCCCCATTTCGCTCTTTTGAAAGATCAAAGGAAAATCAACTTCACCAAAAACACCCATTTTCCATGTTTACTTCGGAATAAACCAATTGGAATTGATAAAAGCCGTGATTACAGGCAATGATTAAGATATTTCGTAAGACAATATGGTCATTTCGATTAAATGGCAAAAAATATTGTAAACGTTTAGGAATGAAAATCGAAACGAATCCGTTTGAACGTTTAACCGTGGGGGCCTTAATAGTGTGTAGCATTTTTTACATATTTACTTGTGTGAAGTCAATAAATGTTTATTTCATATTTACAAAGAGACTGTGTAGCAATTATCGATATTTTGTTTTATCACATAAAATGCGGCGCGGGAGTGTAATAAAGCCATTTAATAAAAACAATATTACACTAGTGTAATAACACTTTGACGTGACGTCATTTGCGTTAAAGCGCGCTAATGTTAGCGTTACACTATAGGCACGTCATTGAAAAATTACTCATTTTTACAGTTTAGTGTTCTTATTTTATATATGTGATAAATAGAATATTATATTCGTGTAGATTCAATGCTAAATTTATTAAACTTGTTGAATAAAACAATATTATGCTCGCCAGAGGCTCGCATAATATGATTATATTCAACTCGTTCAATAAATTTAGTATTAAACTACACTCATTTAATATCCTCTATATAGCACATTTGAGCATAGTATATCCTTTAAGTTTAAAACTTTAAAATTCTGCCAAATTTTGATCACAGATTGCCATAAATATTATGGGAATTTATAAAATATTTGTGATGACATCATCAAAATTTGTTATATTACTTACAATGGTTTTGCACTGAATATTATTACTGCAGCAGATAGAATATTTTATTTAAATGTTGAAAACTTAGAAATGAGTGGGAAATTAATGATACCTTTTCAACAAATATACATTGAAAGAATTTATTCAAGAAAATGTCGATAAAACATTTTCTGAAAAATATAAGCCCTCATTTTTTTTCTAAATTGAGAAGTCAGGTCTTTCTTTCTCCCCCTCCCCACCAAAAATAAAGCAAGTATATTTATATTGATTATACAATTTATATATATATTACTATTACTTCTCTTTCAGTTTAATGATTATATAATCATACTGACATATTCATTGACATAAGTAACATTGAAATGGCTGAAGTGGTTGATCTTACAGATTCTGATAGTGCATCAAGGTAATTACAATTATGTTCATTATGTTTCTTGCTGGAGATGTCACTTCAAATTACAATATTGATATCTCATATAGTTTCAACTTTTGATCCAATATCAATTAGTAGTCAATTAAATATCAATACAATTTAAATCCATTTCTCCTTGTATAGAAAAAAAGATGGCATTTACACCTTACTAAGATTGATCATCTAAAACAATTTTAGTTGATCCACATGCTTTGGGGAGGGGGGGGGGGAAACTACTATAATTATAAAATTCTTTTTATTAGCCCTCTCTTTTTAAGCTCACCTGTCACAAAGTGACATGGTGAGCATTTATGATAACTTTTCGTCCATAGTCCTTCCATAAACTTTTACTTTAAATGACATCTCCTCATAAACCGCTAAGCCAATTACATCCAAACTTTACAGGAATGTTACTTTGGTGGTCCTTTTAAAAATTGTTCAAAGATTTTAATTTAATGCAGAATTCTGGTTGCCATGGAAGCCGAAAGAAAAATCTTAAATATTCTTCTTTTAATAAACCCAAAGAGCTAAAGCTTTGATATTCAGCATGAAAGACTTTCTAGTGAGTGTCTAGCAAGTTTGTTCAAATATAGTCTTAGGGTAAAAAATCACCCCTGATTTTCCTTATATGTATATAGGGAATACTTCAAAAATCTTCGTTTAAAAAACCCAAAGAGCTAGAGCTTAGATATTAAGCATGAAACATTTTCTAGTGAGTGTCTACACAATTTGTTCAAATAAAGGCGCTGGGCTCCGCTACGTGGTCTATATTCAGGTCAGCAATTTCAGGGCCATCATGGCCCTCTTGTTGTAATGTTGATTTGGGAGTTATTCTCACTGTTAAAGCAAGTGTACCATGAGACTAAGAAATTTGTACTGTTACAGGGTAAAAGTAGAAAAGCTGGTCACGTTTTTTTTTTGATCTTGCAAGGTAAGGATAATTGAGTTAGTGTTGCCTTTGGTTCAATTTTGTTACAGTTAGAAAGGAAGTATTCAAATGATTTGTTTTGGGTAATAAAATAAATACCACAAGGGTTTGTGAGTAACAGTCAAAATATCATCCATCATGTAAATAATGTTACCCTCGGGTAATGGCTCGCATGACAGTATTTTCTTCGGAATAATATTTTTACTGTTACCCACAAATTCATGCATTATTTATTTATAATTAAATATTCTCTTAAAATTTTCACAGATTATCCTTACCTGGTAAAGAAAAGTCAAAACTAGAAATGTGTCCATAGGACACGGGTGCCCCCACCGCGCCACTGTTCTGTCAATCTTTTTACTAAGTCAAGGGAAATAACTCTACAAATACTGGATAAATCCACAAGCGAAACCCTAGGTGCAAATCTAAATATGCTGAGCAACCTGCCCATAAGGTTTAATGACTATGTCAAATCCTTTTTGAGTAACTTGCGATACAAGTTGAAAATTGCAAAATTTTACTAAGTCAAGGGCAATAACTCTGAAAATACTAAAAATATCCAAGACGAAAATATCTGGTGCACAACTGCACATGCTGATCAATATTCCTGTAAAGTTACATGACTCTAGGTCAAATACTTTTTGAGTTATGTGCGACATATGTTGAAAATTGCAAAATTTTACTATGTCAAGGGCAATAACTCTGAAAATACTAAAAATATCCAGACGAAAATACCCAGGTGCACAACTACACATGCTGATCAATATTCCTGTAAAGTTTCATGACTCTAGGTCAAATACTTTTTGAGTTACATGCAACACAAGTTGAAAATTGCAAAATTTTACTAAGTCAAGGGCAATAACTCTGAAAATACTAAAAATATCCCGACGAAAATACCCAGGTGCACAACTACACATGCTGATCAACATACCTGTAAAGTTTCATGACTCTAGGTCAAATACTTTTTGAGTTACATGCAACACAAGTTGAAAATTACAAAATTTTACTAAGTCAAGGGCAATAACTCTGAAAATACTAAAAATATCCACACGAAAATACCCAGGTGCACAACTACACATGCTGATCAACATTCCTGTAAAGTTTCATAACTCTAGGTCAAATACTTTTTGAGTTACATGCGACACAAGTTGAAAATTGCAAAATTTTACTAAGTCAAGGGCAATAACTCTGAAAATACTAAAAATATCCAGACGAAAATACCCAGGTGCACAACTACACATGCTGGTCAACATTCCTGTAAAGTTTCATGACTCTAGGTCAAATACTTTTTGTTTTGAGTTACGTGCGACACAAAAGTGAACGGACAGACTGACGGACAGACGGACGGAGGGTAAACCTAAAGTCCCCTCCGGTAAACCGGTAGGGGACTAATAACCATAGATGTATGGTGTGTCGCGAACAAGACTGGGGTTTCTACCACTAAGGTCAAGGTCACTGTGGGGGCTCAAACTTTGTCATTTTTTATATTATATAAATATAGATGGTGGTGGTCGTGTCCACTCTGAAACTTCAGTATGCATGAAAGGATTTTATTTTTCTTTCATATACTAAATAACCATAGATGTATGGTGTGTCACAAACAAAACCTGGGTTTCTACCACTAAGGTCAATGTGGGGGTTCAAACTTTGTCATTTTTTATGTTAAATAAATATAGAAGGAGATGGTCATGTCTGCTCTGAAACTTCAGTATGCATGGAAGGATTTTAATTTTTCTTTCACATATGAATTAAACATAGATGTAAGGTGTGTCGCGAACAAGATTCCAGTTTCTATCACTAAGGTCAAGGTCACGGTTGGGGTTCAAACTTTGTCATTTTTTATATTATATAATTATAGAAGGAGATGGTAGTGTCAGCTCTGAATCTTCAGTATGCATGAAAGGATTTTAATTTTTCTTTCATATATGAAATAACCATAGATGTATGGTGTGTCGCGAACAAAACCTGGGTTTCTTTGACTAAGGTTTAGGTCACTGTGGGGGTTCAAACTTTATCATTTTAAACTTTTATGTTATATAAATATAGATGGTGGTGGTTAAATGCTTACTCTGAAACTTGGGTATACATGAAAGGATTTTAATTATTCTTTCACATTTGAATTTACCATAGATGTATGGTGTGTCGCGAACAAGACTCCAGTTTTCTACAACTAAGGTCAAGGTTACTGTTGGGGTTCAAACTTTGTCAATTTTGATGTTAATATACATATAGGCAGAGATGGTCATGTCTGCTGTGAAACCAATATGCATGAAAGGATTATATTTTTTATTTCACTTATGAAATTATCATAAATGTTTGATGTGTTGCCCTTAAGACCTGTGTTCCTATGCTTTAGTTCAAGGTCACTACTGGGTTTAAACTTTTTCAATATTTATGTTATTATACACACAAATGGTGGTTGTTGTGTCTGCTCTGTAACTTCCATACACATGAAAGTTTCAATTTTGTATTTAAAGATATAAAGTCATCATAGATGGACAGTGTGTTGTGAACAAGACCCAGGTCTCTTTGTCTCACTTAAAGGTCACTACTGGGGTTCAAACTTTGTTAATATTTACCACCATACTTATCATGTAATATGTGATTTATAATAAGAATCCTTCCGGGGGGGGGGGGGTGTAGACAGCTCTTGTTTTCTCCTATGACCAAATCCCATAAAAGATTTTGGTTTGAGATATTGCTTGGCAATATTGACCTGAAATGGATTAATTTTTGGAAGCTTTTTCTTAACTTTACATAATTTATTATAATTAAGCAAAATCATTGAAATTTTCATTGTTTTCTATAACTGGCTATAACTTTGATTGTCTTCATATTATCACAGAACATTCTTTAGGATAAGACCTTCACGAATATCAAACTCAAATTGACCTTGTCTCTTTAATGACCTTGTTGACCCAGCTTGGTGGTGGCTGTTGTTATATTGCGCTCTGAGTCAAGCATATTAAAAGCATGCAACAACAGTGCATGGTCACGACAATTTGTATCAATTATGTATACCTGCAAGCTGAGCTTTAATGCAAGAATAAAATTTAATGTTAGTCATTTCCTTATTGAAATAGACATTTATACCAAGATATACATAAGAAGAAATACAGGCTAAGATTTACAAAGGGCCATAACTCAAAAATGCTTAATAGGGATAAAAGCAAAAACATGCTTATCATTTTTAAACACAATTGTCCATCTTTCTATCTGAACAAAACCATTTATCATTATTGGGAAAATAATTTCAAAATAATTATTGTCTGAAAACTGAACATCATCTGCACAGGGCAGATGGGAAGCAGAAGTCTAAGGTTTAATAAGCATCATTCTTATTACGGTAATATACATTTGATGAGTTTCATTACCATCAAGCTACAACATTTAAAATATGACTAAAATTTGTTGTTCTACTGAAAAAACTTATCTGTCTGTGGATCAAATCCAATAATTATCTTGAACATGAACTATAATAGTAAACACTTCCCTTTTCATTTTCTTAAAATCATGTCATCTGTTTTCCATACAGTTTTTACTTTTTTCAGCAATTCAATAAATAAACTTCTTGTCTTGCAGAGATATAAGAAACAGATGGACTATAAAAGAAAGAGTGAAAAATTGTGCAGTTAAAGTTGACCCATTACTTGCATTCAAGCCATTTAAGATTGTACATAAAGACAACTTCACTATAACCAGACCAAGAGACTTAAAAAGAATACCTCCTCAAAATACTGTTACATCTCTGAGGCCCAAACTTCTGCAATCTCCACAAAGTGTTGTTATATGGGACGGATATGGAATTTTTGACTGGAGGGCACTGAACACACTAAGTGAAATTCACGAAGAGAGGCGCACAGCAAATCGTGTTCAGGAAGAGTTTAAGTGGTTGCAGCAGTTTTCCGACAAAGAAACAAAAAGAATTGAAAAATTTGTTTATAGTCTGTGGTACGGATCAAGACGAAATCAAGGCAGAGAATCATTATTATGTGACAGACTAATTTCGGATGAAGTAATTGAAGAAATACTTAAAATTTGTAACAACAGAAGTGAAATGCTGAACATAGGAGAGATGTTTATACTTCTCAACACATCGCAACGTGTTCACATACCTAAGGAGGTAAAAAAAGTCCATTTTGTTATCAATGTGACAAAGAAGAATGGTGACGTGTATATAACTCCCCCAAATGAATGTGGAACCCACTGGAGCTATCTTTGCCTAGACATTGATGAGCAGCATGCCACATATATTGATTCCCTTGGATGGAATGTACCCTTGAATTTGACAGCAGAGCTAGTTTGACTTGTCCATCAGATTCCAGCACAATTTTTGACAAAATTTTTTCCTACACAACTTTACAAGGCTTTGATAACAATAGATCTCATGTGTGCTCAGATAGTTGTGGAGCATTTGCTCCCCTTCAAACATGCAGTAGTATCTGTGGTGTTTCTATATTAATTATTTGCTTATTTAGGTTTAACAAACAGCTCTGGGAGCAACTATCAGAATCCAATTCTCCAAGCCATTAAATCACCAACAAAACATTCTAGCCAACTGCGTTTACTGTTGAAGTCATGTATTGAAAAGAGTGACATTGATATGAGCATTCTTGAGAAAACTTGCCAAGTGAGGGAATCAGTAATGGAAAACAACAAAGATTGCAAATCCTATTCGTTGCACCCAAGAAAAGAAGTTAAAGTGAATTTCAATGATATCTTTTTGACTGCTCTAAATCAGGCCAAACAAGATAAGAAAAGGAAAACTAATGGCCCAGTTATGTCAGCAAGTAAAAAGCTCTGCAGTGAGAATATTTTAATCAGTAAAGAAAAAGTATCTTCAGCAAAGAAAAAGCCTGAGAATGATATCAGTGAAGAAGTTGATCACAAACTTAAAAATTTAAAAACAGTAAGTGATAAAACACAAAAAGAATTGCGTGAATTGAGCAAATTTGAAAAACAAATGTTAGAGAAAGAGATAGAGATGAGGAAAAATAAGAAAAGAAGTAATGCAGCAAAAAAAATACAGAAAGTGCAACCGAATATAAAGACTGTCTTCCAAAACATGAAAGAAAATATTCCTGTGAATGGATTTAGGGCAAAAAAAGATGTAAAACTTGATAAGCAAAACTTTGTTTATACCGAAGGGGTTACATTTAAAGGATTGTCCAGGAAATTTTTCATGAAAATAGGGACGAAAGCCAACAAAAATATTATCAGAGATAAGATGAGAGCAGACAAACCTTTGATTGAAGGAAATGGTAAAAAGATTGGTCTTGAGAGAAACAATGATAAGAATAGAAATGCATCCAACCCTGACAACCCAGAAATGGACAAATCCAACATCAATACATATATACTCCAGACAATTGAATACATGAAAAAAAATGGCCCTATAGTGAAAACCCAGAAAATATGTGATTTTTACCAATCCTTAAAGCAAAAATCCAAACGAGTCATATCAAGTGAATTTGTTGAGAAACTGGGAAGACATACAGAAATAAAGCAAGTTTATATAAATGGAACTGGCTACCTTATAAATGGAGAATATAAAGAACTCATCCCAGTTTTGGATGAGCTTGAAGAAATGTGCCAAAGTCAAGAGCAACAAAGTTACAACAAAAAAATTAAAGACAGGATAGAAAACCACTATGCAATCCTTCTTAAGTCTTTAAAAGATCCATATGACAGACAATTAATTAAAGGATTTATGGCAAGTATTACAACTGCAGATTTAATGACTCAAATTGAAGGGAAGAAAAACAAAAGATCACATACACAGAGCAGAAATAGTTTGAAATTCAATCTTAATGAATACAAATCAATGGAACAACAAACATTGACAGTGAGAAATGATATGACAAACTTACAACAGAGATTATTTTCCAAAAGACTACTTGAAAAAAGAAAAAAGCAGGAATTGAAATGTGTTTTTAAAGGTCGTGGAAGACTACACAAAAGTGAGCAGTTTCCGGAACTTGCATCTGTTCTGGAAATGTGTTTTGGAGAACTGAGTGTCCTGGTTGGTGGGAGTGGACTAGAGAGTCATCCTAGACTAAGTAATGGTGTTTTGTATAGGGCATGTGACAATAATATGCTTATGAAAAGAGCTAGAGACATCATATTGCAGTTGGCCCCTGAAAATTTTCAAATATCATTATCTTCCTGTTACAATTATACTGAAAACTACAGGGCAGGAAGTCATCAGGCAAAGCAACATCATGCTGGTAGCGGTATCAACGCTAATATTTCTCTAAATGCTCCACCGCGAACCGGTGTGGAGAACTTTGTCATTAATCTTCACTGGACAACTTCTAATGTCAATTTGTTAGTGGATCAAGGTGAAGTGGACAAGGAAAATACTTTTATAGATTCAAAAGATGCAAAATCAGTTGTGTGTGCAAATGTTGCACCTGTTCAAAAGATTGGGAAATCATGGAGTAAACGTGAAAACTTAGATCATGATTGGAACCAAAGCAGAACATTTGCAGTGACTCCTATGACACATCTAATAATGAATTCAGAACAAACGTTAGAAGTAACTGGACACTCCAGTATACTGAAGGTCAAAAGAACAGGCCAAGCGATAACCCTTGTCAACATATCCCACTTTGAGCCAGAAACAGCATTTAGAACGTTGAATGATATATTATTGTTGATGCACAATCAAGAAACATCAGAATTTTTCAGAAATACTGTAACAGGTGACTTAAAGAAAAACTTCATCTTTGTTGTTGACAATGGTCCCTCAACATGTCCAAATAACATCATTGTGCAAATGTGTCTTGTAAGATTATTGAAGTTTTTAGACCTAGACAGCATATGTCAAGTGTCCTATGCAGAGTATCATAGTAAAAGGAATCCTGTGGAACGTGTTCATGCTGAGGAAAATAGAGCTCTATCAAGACATGGACCATTTAAAGTTGACACAAAACTTATTAAGGTTGGTTCTAAAGAGCATAGGACAGAAATGGAAGTGATGCTGCAGGATGTAG